GGATGGTGCGGTGGTACATCGTCTTCGCCGGTCTGCCAAGTAAGGTTTGGATAGCTTGGACACATATGCCACTCGAGACAATAGATCGCTGGTTCAAATCCGGCAAAACACAACCACATTTCTCGCGGCGCTGGTATGCTTGGATAGCCAAAGGTTTTGAAACGTCCTTTTGCTGGTACTTACGGAGGAGTGTCGATTGTTTGTGTAAGCAAGCATACCTCATAGTGGTATTTGCAAATGAAATCCAGAGTATGAGTGTCTCTAACGTCAAAAGAGTCATCCAATATGTATACATAGCACCGGTCATGTGTCATAGCTAGATAGCTGAATACACATTAAATGATTTAAAAAAAAAAAAGGTGTGTGGGTGTTTGCTGAGTAATGCCAAGACTAGATTGGCTTTCATGTCACGTGTAGGTGTTTCATGTTCAGGCACCAACACTGCCTTGCTCATTACATGTTTGAAGCCCTGAGGGCGTAATTTCGAGGAGTGAGCGTGATATCTATTAGCTTTAGAATTGGTGTGAAGGAGCAGGGCAGCCTCACGAGTCTTTCGTCGTGAATGAAAGTTACGGCCTAGCTTCTTGAATAGAATAAGTAAATGGTTGTGATCATCCGTCATCTTCATCATCCTACGAATGGGAACTCAGATGAAAAGCTTGTTAGGATAATTAGCTAATGTACTGCCCATTCGTTTAAGGAACATATTATGACTATATATTCTATGTTAATGTACCTCCGATGCATTGGGTTGCTAGCCTGCCTGCATGATGCCCGGCACGTAGCGCTGACCGTTACGTGCTTGACACCATGTACAGTGCTACACCCTCTGCCTTTTTGCTTTAATTTTCAACCAGATTGCTTTTATTTCGGGCCTGCTTAAAAGACGAAACAATTGGTAAACGCGCAAGGGTAGATGAACCAGTAACCCCAACAAGGATAATTTGTCACACGAAAATCAATACACATACACGGTGCCTATTATTAGCTTTCTTAGTCATAGTACTTGAGTTATATTCTGTTTGGAGGACTTTTTTTTTTTTTTTTGCATCAGGTTTTAGTTTCGTATGCAGCTATCTAGCTATGACACCATATCAAAGAAAAGTACGGAAAAGATGACTCAATTTACAAGAGGAGCACTCATGCCTCGGATTTCATTTGCAAGTACCACTGCGAAGTTAGGGTGGCTTTTTCTTCACCCCAAGTCAGCCCTCATCCGTGAATACCCACCCAGGGGAACGTCTCAAAAACCCTGAGTGATCCTGACATGCCTCCATCATCCATCAACTTTTTTCCGCGTGAAATTTAATCTGAGATGTCTCCTTCCCAAGTGGACTAGGTGCCCAGGCTACTCAAACTATACCAGAGAACACCACCGGGAGGCGGATCACAACACCCTGCATCGTTTGCTTGTGTTTATAGTGTCAGCTGCACTCTCGCAAGCGAAGTCTTGGCGCGCACAAAGCTAAATGCGGAAAACTCTTGCCAAAATTTAGAATCCCATGCCCTTCGAGACTGTATCCATCCTTTGCATCATCTTGTTAACTTGTCCTGATCCCTCTCACGTCCATCCCAAAGAACTGTCTCCCAGATTTGTGCGCCACGCTTTGTGTCCTCCGTCGGGTATAAATATCGGCGTGGGCGTGTGTTTGGGGGTGCAATGAGGCCAGAGAAGGTCGAAGAGAGGTGTGGTCACGGGGATGAGTATGTGCTGGGTTGTACTTGTAGACTTGATGAGACTTTGGTAGGAGTCAAACTCGTTGGGAGTGAAAAAACGACGTGGTGGAGTATTTTGAATCATTGCCTCGTGGGCCAACTTCTCAGATATTGCGAAATGTGACTGAATTTAGCTCTGGGAGAATATTTCACTCCCAGGTTCGTAGAGGACACCGCGTAGAAGTGTTCAGTCTTGCCCTCCAACGCATGGTCTTTATTCTCTAGTAAATCCCATATAGGTAATTTTACCTCTGGTTAGAAAATAAATATCATTTTCGATATATGTTTGCAAGAAGCTAAAGTACCATCCCTTAACACTAGATCACATAGTACCAGATGTGGGATCCCGCCAGGAGTGATATCTGCGTTTAATCCTTCAACTCAATGCAACTTGTTAGCGTATTTGTGTTCCTAGAAAATTCTAGGTTAGAAATATATGAACGAACTTACGTCAGACTTAACGAACTCTGTGGGCATGCTGAGATAATGGATAACGAGCCTGCTTAGAGTTCAAAGTCTCTCGTAAGCCTTTTCGTAATCCGTATACACGAAATCATAGGACTCAAGCTGAAATATTGCATTTTGTGGAATCAACTGTGATAGAGCCACGAGCCAAATTGTGAACAAACTGTTATAAAGGTGATCGATCAGGACATATACAACCCCTTATCACTATTATCATTAAACTAACCATGATCATATCGAGTGGTAGGGTTGAAGCCCTACTCGTCACAAACCCCTGATCATGGAGGAAAAGCTATCCGATGAGTTTCCGGGACGTACCCAGCACCCGATACGGCGATAGTGGATTGGATCAAGATGACCTCGAATGTTACGAAGAAGGGAGATATAGATGAATTTGCGCAGCTCATGTGGTACCGGTGCTTAGGCCTCTTTTTTAATTTTTTTTGAGGTTATAGGTTCTGCGGTAGAGGCAGCTAAATTCCACAGATGGATCCTGAGCGGAATGGCTATCCATCACGGTGAGATCACCAGAAATCATTCAAGGAACAAAATAGAATGGGAGCACTGTGCAAGGTGTGGCCTAGGTCGGAGAGGAGTCCGATTTGCTACATAGTCTACGACTTGTGGAAATATCGCGCGATGAAATGGGCATAACATTTGTAGAACGGGGGAACAAGTAGACCAAATGAGCGCAAGTTGTGCACAATCAGTACTAGTGTGGGCGATACCAAGCCTAAGCCACATCATAATCGATTCTGGCACCCAAGAGGCATAGAACAATTCCTAATAAACCCCTTGTGCCCACGCTATATAGCCGCTCACATATCCATGACGAAGCCTGAAGCGCTACCCTGGGATTAGTTCCAAACTCTTTAATACACACAAGATTGTGACGGGAACCGAAACGAAATGTAGGGCCAGAACGTCCATAACACACCGTATCTCTATTTTCAACAAGACTCAAGCAGTACAATAAAATAGGACATAAATGGTGGGGGCTCACTCAAGTATCGTGTGGAAACATAGTCCGGTGCGATGAGCGCGCTGGTGATCATTGATTCGGATCTGTCCTATAAAAAGGCTTTCTCGTGCAGCCCACCGCAAGGAATATCTTTCGTGGTAGAAAGCAGCATATCAGACATACCAGGTCTACAAGGGAAGTGTGGTGCTCACCAAGGCAAGCCGAGGCAGTCCGACAAAGGCTCTGGAGATTGAGGCCTCATTATTGCCAACCAAGGTTCGACATCACAAGTGTTACGGTTAGACCTTTGTTTGAGCTTAGGGGTAGACCTAAGCTTAATACTAAGGATTCTTACGATAAGACTGCATGAGGGCAGAGATGAAGCTGAACGAAACAGGACTACTAATCATGAGGCTAAACATTCTTACTACTCAGTGATACCTGGAAATACGTGGCTACGTATAAATTAATGTCGAGGACAAGTCACTAGTCTGTAGATTCACGAGGAGAATCAACTCTTATAAAGACCTGTTAGTATTGGCTAGAGTTCTCTTTTCTCCGTATATAGTTTGGTTAATCAATTTATTAATCATCAGCTCGGTTTCCGTCATAGGCGCCAATATAAGTCACTAGCGAGTATCTAGTTGCTCAAGCAGTTCTACCCGAGTGCATGATACTAGATTATTATTTGATAGAGGAATTCTTGGTGACAACGATGCTCGAGCTGCTATGGAGGGAAGAATCAGAGAGGGCATATCTTGGAGTCACAGACGAATGTGCGATCGGCTTATATAGATGGCACGATATTGGGAGTGCGCTCCAAGACGGAAAAATAGGAGGGCACGATTGAACATCTGTGCGCGGTGTCCACTGCGAACCTTGGAGTGAAATATTCTCCCAGGGCCGAGTTCAGTCAAATTTACAAATACCCAAAAAGTTGGCCCACGAGGCAATAATTCAAGACTCTCCACTGAATCGATTTTTCCCACGCAACATGATCCACCCCCAATCGAACCCCAATCAATAACTCGTCAAGTTTTCAAGTACGACTTAATACATCCTCGTTTCAATGACAACATCTCTCTTCGACTTTCTCTTGCCTCGGTTGATCAAAAAATACACGGTCACGCCGATATTTATACCCGACGGAGAAAGAAAATCGTGGCGTACACACCTGGGAGACAATTCTTTGGGATGGGCGTGAGGGAAATTGGGATAATTTCATAAAATAATGCAGAGGATTGATACCATCTCGATGGGTGTGAGATTTCGAATTTAGACAAGGAGGTTTACATATTTAAGGGATTTTACAAGCTAATACTACGATTGCTAGAGTGCAGCTGACATTATGAAAAGAAGCCGGCGATGAAGGTGCTGTAGTCCGTCTCCTAGTGGTGTTCTCTGGTATGGTTTGAGCAGCCTAAGAACCTATTTTACTTGGGAAAGAGACGCCTCAGACCACATTTCGCGCGGAGAAAAGTAAAAGGATGTTGGAGGCATGTCTAAAATTAGAGGGTTTGGAGACATTTCCATGGGTGGGTATTCACGGATGATGGTTGACTTGGGGCGAAGAAAAAGCCGTTCCAACTTCGCAGTGGTACTTGCAAATAAAATCCGAGGCATGAGTACTCTTCTTATATTGAATCATCTATTCTATACTTTTTCTTCAACATTATACTATAGCTAGATAGCCACACACGCAATTAAACTCTGGTGTAAAAACAGATTAAAGTTCTTTAAGGCCTGCAAGGGCCTATGGGACGCCATACTATGAAAATATAATCTAATCAGCCCATACTGAAAGCTCATTTGATCGACTTGCGTGACATAATTCTACACTTCCCCGTCTACCTTGAGATCATGAATACATGAGAGCATTGTACCACGGATTGTCATATTCGAGGGTATTGCTAAATTCGGCCGGACCTATATTCCCACAAAGAAACCCTGTTGCAGGTGTTGCGGCAAGTCTTGGAGTCTTTACTTCGAGCTCTTTTAACTGCAGAGCATGTTTACCTTTGCCTCGAAAAATTTTGGGTAGGCGACTCTCTTGAGTGGAAGAAATAGTACGAGATGATGGTGAAAGGGCCAACAATTGATCTTGAAATGAAACAATGTCAGGGTGGTTCTCCAAAATTAGCTCGGAAATAAATTTTCCATTTCGAATTTCGTGACCGATATTACTGGTTAAGTACCAGAAATCCGTCCCTATTAATTTATTGAACACATGTAGGTGGCCCTGATACCAGGCAAGTGCATATTCTTTCGACTCCGTAGTTTTCAAGATGAAAAACTCGCCGTTTAGAACGAAGTTTTTGACCTCAAGCGGCTTATCCAGTATAATGGTGAGTCCATCGGAAGTAGCCAAAGCGGAAGTTAAACCATATTCTCCCTGTAGTAAAATCATTCCTTGAAATGCTAGACTGACCAGCACAATTTCAGTACATTCTCTTGGATACCTGAGTCCCGACACATGTACAGGGATTCTTTTGGGTTGCATTTGATGAATTTTCGAGGTCAAATCTGAACAATGTTTTTCCAATTGGGCATCGTTACTAAATCCGATGTGGGCTTTACTATACAGACTTATGGTACCATCGACAATCCTATGATATATCTGAAGAGCATCCAATTCGAATGAGCAATATGCCGCAACATATGTACCCGGCTGATTGCCTTGGTTCTGGGTCATGAATATGCCTGATTTTCTTTCAGGAACCAGAAATCGGCGTGCAGAATTAACAGGTATGATGTCGTAAATAGAGTTATATTCCGTACCACCCGAAATTACCATACGATCCGACATCGGCGAGTTTCTGCCTGTAAGAAGGAGAATAGCGGCAATACAATTCATTCCCACAGATTAGATTAACGTTTCACTCAACTTTGTCAGTAAGTTTTTCTTAGTGTGTACCGGAATGATTACCTTCCAGACCGATTTTTCACACAGCAATAGTTTTACCGCAAACTCAGATTGTCTAGAGGGGCCCGGAATAGGTTCACTTCGAACGTTTGGCCGAAGTAAGGGATATCGCGAAAAAAATTGAAATTCGAGGCCAAATTTTCCATGACCTTCAACGAGAGATAGATCATTCTTATTGAATCGCTTGATAACTCTACAAACCCAGCCGTTCAAATTGTGGGTTCTTAATTAATTGCAAAGTGACTAGCGATGGAAGCGAGATTTGAGAGCTTGGTACCATCTGTTGTAGAGAGTCTGGGTCAGGAATTCGAGAGTTCTGGATGACGGCTTTCAGAGTAGCATCGCGGTACATGGGTAGGTTCAATTTACAGCAGTTAAATGATTCAATGGAGCCAAGGGATATCAAAAATGAACAAGGTCTCGTTTAAGGCATGAAGCTGTCGAACATATATGTCGCCGGATTTTGCCTCATACAAGTTCCTGCCCAGAAATGCTAGTTCATACTTGCATGTAAAACATCCATCAGCTTCCTCCACTCTCTCAGCCAGATTTCACCACCTAAACCGTACATGAGAGCATCTTGGCGTTGAAAGAGCCTTCTAGTATAACCACAAGAAAGATGGTAGCTGAGCTGAAGCCGTACGGGTAATTTATAGTAACTTGACCGAGGAATTGTTCATGAATCGTGTCGTAATCATTACGTGTGCATTTTGCAGCCAAGATATCAGTAAGATTGTGCTATTGAATCACGCAAATCCAAGCTCACTGAGCTTGAATCAGATGGATTCAGGAAAATTGAAGTGAGCAGTTGGGACGTCTCTTGGATAGACAAATCAGTCAACGCACCGCGCCGAGGGGGATTGTTGAGACAAAGGTTCTGAAGACGAGTCCTTTACTTGACCTTTCACTCACGACAAGGAGGAAACTGTACAGAGGATTGCGCCTATTTGCAGAAGTCATGTGAGCAAGCTGAGATACTAAGAGTACATTTGGTTTCCCGGTTACCATGAACTCAGGGTGGACTATTCTCAACACCACTCAGTGGTGTCCCCTACGAACCTCCTGCTCTTGCTATAGAGTCCAGATTGAGGAACACCGTCCACAATTCTACGAGGATTCTCGACCGATTGCGCGGTCTTTATCGTCTTTATCTCTCTCAGCGCAAATCCTCAGCAGCGTCAATGTGAGACTAACCACCATCAGATCAGGTTTTAGGGTTGGAGCCAATTCATCACCCACCCTTGATCATGGAGGAGAAGCAATCCGGCGAGTTTCCGGAGCGTACTCAGCACTCCACATGGCGATGGCGAATTAGATCACTGGTAGCTGCAGAGGATATATTTCATGTAATAGATTTCCTGTAGTTAATCTCTATAGAAAAATATTAATTCTTTGTGGTACTGTTTACGTGCGGTGTCCGTTAACCTCTTCGCCCTTAACACAGGCTACGTATTGTCACATAGATTACTAAATGCGGTTAGCATATGATTAGTAAGCTTCACACAAAGTGTAGATTTCGAAATTGGGAGTTAAGGAATGGATATATTTATATAAATCACGAGAATAGGGAGTGGCAGGAAGGCAGCTCTAATGTAGAGATGAAAGAAGTAGATTGGCTATGGGGAGAGAATATCTAGAGTTGGACAGGGACTATATGCTAACGTGCCCGTACCACATGTACTCACGCTATTGTACCAAGGGCCAGGTTGAGGCGAGACCGTAACTATATATTTCGCAACAATATTTTAGATATTTATTTTTTATTACTTTTGGTCCTAAGCTAACGCTATCTTTTCCACATTGGGTCAAGGACAGGTGGAGCCGGCAGGGTTCCCTGTAATCTTTCCTACAGCCTAACTCGTTCCAACCTCGTGAATCTCTGCCAAAAGTGCAGCTGATTAAGCTGAAACGAAAAACCAAGAAAATCAAAACAACTCCCAAAAAAAACCCCCCAGAAGATTCCTTCACATTGGACCCAAGCAATGTGCTCCTCACACATTCCCTCGTCCGTCACACCTTCCAAATGACAAATTTGCCCAATTCCGCTGAGAGCAAAAGATGGGTCAGCAGGCACCTTGGTCCAGCCGGTATCCTGCTATTGGTTAGTAGATATTGTTAAAACTTTGTCGTGGAGTAATAGATATGAGAGTGAGGTTTATGGGTCACGATGTATGAGATCCTTACTATTGTTGTTGTACTAGTTAGGGTTGTATTGTCTATACACAAAAGGGATTTCTCCATCTACAAGTGGGCCAGATCGCTTGGATCCGGCTAGCGGCTTTCGCCATCCTGTTCCTTCTCCCCCGCATGGTATCACGTGCTATACAACCACTGCTCACCATGAAGTCCGAGGATGAAAAGCGTTAGATTACAATAGATATCCCTTCCGGGACATCGTCGAGGTTGCTGTGTCCTCAAGCTTCTTTTTCAGATTCCAACACTCCGAAACTTGTTGCCTCGGCCATCGAGACATCCTTTGCCACGGCGATGATCGCCTCTTCGGCTTTTTTAGCTGCTGCCCGAGCTCGTGCCACCTTCACGAACTTCCCTTGCTGGATGTGACGGATCCGCTCGAGCTGCTCTTTTGACATCGGTCCCCCACAGTTGCGACACTTGTTGAGGGCCTTGCACTCGTCTTCCGAGTGCATATTTGATCCGCAATTGCAGCAAGCTGGAGCACGGGAGCAACTAGGGGTGACGTGGAAGCCCAAACAGCGTTTGCACTGTTCAATTTTTCGACGAGGCTTTAGAATGGTCGCCACTCCAGACTCGCCGAGAATACGGAAGCCCGCGCGAGGGGCGGTGTCCCGGGCGAACAGGGCTTTCCAATTTCTGTACTGCGCTCCAGGACGGCATGTCCCGTGCCGTAGCACCTGGGTTGGAAACTGCTGCGTTTTCCTGTGTATTTCATGTTGTAGTCTATGCGACAGTGGAGTTAAGAGTATACTGCATACCAGCTATATATTTAGCTGCGTGTGGATACTTGCTCTCGAAATCAGATTCCTTATAATATAAATATATAAATATATATATATAATTTATTGTGTGTATTATAACTACAACTATTGATGCTTGTTTACTTTTTCTTACAATTATCTACACACTTCACAATTACGGAAAGTGTGGAGTTCTAAGCGAGACACGTGATACAATTACAGATTTATCGCATGACTTTCAACATTTCATATATTATCATTTCCGCATCGATCGTATAGATACCGCCGACCGTTCTCGTTGTCACTGGAAAGTTCGCGATCCGAAAAGCGACAAGGTTGGAGGCTTCCCCGAACTTGGCGTTGAATTCCGCCAACTTCGGTGTAGCCTCTAGGAGCTCTTCCCTTATTTCCTCATTCCCTGTCAGAATAGCAAAGCCGGTTCTGACACGGTGAATAGAGCAGGCGTCACTCAAGGTGCACTCCAGCTTGATCTGTAGTTGTTGCCTTATTCCGAGAGTAGAAAGCTGGCGCCAAGGGTGCTCCTTTTCCAGGCGAAAGAACAGTCGTTTGTCGACTTTCGCCTTGGGAGCTTCTTTATTTAAGGCTTTGGCTGCAGGTCGCGGCACAGCATTCGCAGTTGGAACTGCTTTCTGTCGCAGTCCGTTTCTGGCCACCGTAGCCCAGGTGATTTTTACAGGCAGCACTGGGACGGCGGGAATTTGTATGCTCCTGGCGTCGGGAGCCCTTGGGGGAGGGTTTGCTGGGCGAGGAGGGTGGCGTAGTGGCCGGGCCCGTGGCCATGCATTGCGCTATGGAGGCGCGTAGGTAGACTCTCATCGATCCTACGAATTGTCTGTTTGAACCGTTGGTCAAAGGAAGAAGGGTGGCTTCGACGCCAGAGATGGCGGCGGAACAGAGGGCCAGATTTGCCGCTGTTTCGGCGGCGCGTTGTTGTTCGGCTTCGACTATTGGTCGGAACTCAGGAGGGCATTCTGCTGTCGACGCAGCCAAAAGCTGCGTCGGTGATTTTGGCGCTGATATAATTGCAGCGTTTTCCGACGGTTTTTTTATTATTTTTATTATTTTTTTTTATTACATTTGGTCCTAAGCTAACGCTATCTTTTCCACATTGGGTCAAGGACCGGTGCACACGGCCAAGATCATGCTTCCCACATGCCCGACTCCGTCTCACCGCGTGACTCACTGCACAACAAGTAGCTAGTTATAATAAAGAAAATAAATGCCCACACAAACTCCCACACCCAAAATTCCAAATCCCATACTCCTGTTTGTGGTTGGAAAATGACAATTCTCGTCTCATTTTCCTGTCCGTCATGCTTCGTGGTATGATCTAGTTACTGTCGTCTACGCTGAGAGCTGGAGACGGAGTAACTAGATAGGCCCCCGAAGCAGCCGGTTTCCTGCGCAAATTTTTTAAAGTGATCGAAGCACTTAGGCCCGAGAAGTTTGTGGGTAAAGTCGTGATGTGACATTGTCCCTCGTAGTCGACGCGTCCGGCGTACGTGCAGTCGACAGTGAATAAAGTGAAGAGGTAATGTTTCCTCTCCACACGCACACTCCATTGAAGCGGCAAAGTTGTTGCAGCGGCGATGACATGCCGCGAAGTTTCCGTGGCCCGTGCGGGCTGAGATCAGTTCACGGAGTAGCCGCCGGGAAAGTGTCTTCTCGCGTGGCTTGCGTCGTTGCATGAGACCCAGATTTCAATACCTAGGTGGACATACTTCTTCCCACCAGTCGTCGAGAAGCGCTTGACGTTTCCGGTTCATGAGCCGACGAACGTACGCCATTGTGACGGAGCTAGGCTGCCTCTCTTTACTTGGCAGTTTTTGGAGGCCGGAGCGTGCAGCTCTATCTGCATCTTCGTTTCCCTGTATCCCGGAGTGGGCCGGTATCCACTTCACCGAGACTAGAGCCTTTTTTGATAGCGCCCTAAATTGGCGTACGTCGTCGAGGCTTGTTGTGGCAATTCCCGTCAGCAGTGCTTTCACTGTAGACTGACTATCCGTCAATACATTGATCTGCTGCCTGCCGTCTTTTCCCCCGTTCTGCCTCTCTGACAATTCCAGCGCAGCTTCCAGGGCCTTCCTCGCCCCTAGTATATCCGCATCAAGCACTTCACCACCATGCTTGATGCCACATCCCTTCAACAGAGTTTTTCCATCCCTCTTCAAGACAAACCCCCATGCTGAGCGACCTTTCCCCTCAGACGATCC